CGCAGATGGTAGCCATCAAGTCCATCAACAGTGGGTTCTGGCACTGACTGCCGGACATGAAGATCGTGTTAAGCTCGTGTCCGGACGTGTTCATCGCCTCAACAATCTGTCGAGTCTGCATGGCGATGAACTCCATCGTGCCATAGTACCACAACGCCAAGTTGTCCGTGGTCTTGTCGCTGCTCAAGCCAACCACGGCACCCTTCATGTTCGGGTCTGCGACGGGTGATCTGTTACCCCACAGGTCACCGTACAGGAAGAAGTGGCGACCCAAGTACGAAATTGACGGGGCACCGCTCTTCTCACGCATGTATTCCAAGTGGGAGTTTAGGAACTCGTAAATGTTCTTCGACTCGGCCGTGGCAAGCGCGTTCGTTTCGATGAAGGCAGGGTGGATTTCGAGAATGTGTCGAAGCAGCTCGCCGGTGGCAGACTGGCCGCCTTCGGCCATCCAGAATTCGGGGAGCAAGACGTCTCGGTATGGGCCCCAAACACCAGGCACGAACACTGCCTCTCTGGACATGGCCAAGTGGCACGTCGATGTACCGGCAACCGCCGCGAGTCTGTGGAAGGCTTGAGAGAGGTCGTTCTTGGGCTGGTCCGCCTCAAGATGGCCTGGCGGAAGCTCGACTTTGGCGCCGACAGTACCAATCCAGCCGGCATAGGCGTCAATAACACCACCGCCGACGGCGATACCCTCGGGAAGACCGAGCTCGCCAGCGGCCTTCTTGCAGAGACCACCCACGAGCTCGCCAGCGCTCTGGTATTTTCCATTCTATGGATAGCCAAGTCAGTCAATCGCACTTTAACCTCGACGCTGAAGCAACAGAGGAGCAGGATTCAAATGAAAAAGGCTCACCACCCCGTTAACACCACCCATACGCTGGAAATCGTCCTCAACAAGGTCTTCGAGCCCAATCGTCGTCAGGAAGTCATCCTGCCAGCCCTTAACGCTGCCGTCAACGCCGACAGGAACGTATCCCTGCTTGCAGACGGTGCTGCAGAAGCTCCGTGTCTCGTTGCCAGTAGCCATGTGCGTGAGCGCATCAGCGAGATCGTAGAACTTGCAGCGGTCAAAGAGCTCCTTGGGCATGTTGTTCTTGAGCCACAGGACCTTGGGAATTTCCATCTCGATGCTCATGGTGCCGCCAACGTACTTCAGCAGATTGTGCTTCGTGGCGTTGATCTTCTCCGTCTCCTCGACGGGACGGTGGTCCAGCCAGAGAATGACATTGCGGTCGTTACCATCGGCATTGTCGAAATCGGGGCCGGTTACGGCGACGGGCTCGTCGGTGTCGTGGCTGAAGACGGCGAGGGAGCAGGTGGCGTCGAAACCGATGCCCTTGATGATCTCAGGGTCGACCTTGGACTCGACGAGAACTTGCTTCACGCAGTGGCAGATGCAAGCCCAAATATCTGAAGTGGATTGTTCCTTTCGAAAATGTCAACTAACCTCAACATCTCAAGAGGATCACCCAACAACGTAATGAAGAGAAGGCGAGGCTCTGAGGTGACTTACATAGTATCCGGTCTCAGGCTGCCACAGCTTGATGGGCTCACTGGCAAGGCCCTTGATGTCGCCAGTCTCGTCAATGATGCAAGCTCTGGCCGAACCAGTGCCAACATCAATGCCGATGTAGTGGTCCTGGTAGTACACATCGAGTCAATGGTCTGGCTTTTGGAGATCAAGGAACAGAGCTCCATTCCGGTCGAACTTACCAGAAGCTGGGGAGGTGCGGTGGATTGGACCCTGGACGTGACATGTCAGCACTCAAGTACATCGTGAGGCTTTGGGACAGCTCGATTGATCGGTCGTAGGCAGGCAGGTAGGTAGCCGGCTGTAGCAGTGGCTTGAACTTACTCCATTGTGCAGACCGAGGGTAGTTACTCGAATAGCAAGCTTTTGATCACGCGCTGGGGAGAAACGTGTGAATCGTTTTGGCAGTCAGTAATAGCAGAAGTGAAGAAGTAAGGTAGGGAAGGTGTGGAAGAGTAGAGCTTCTTGGGCAACGGCGATTTTGTTGATCAACAAAAAAAAAGTGACGGGAGCTCTTTCTTAAAAGAGCACCTCAACACGACCAGGAGGGGGAAATGTCTGATTCACTGGGTAAGGTCAGGTTCAGTCCAGACCTCCATCATCGGCACACACCCTTATTTTTTCGTCCCTTCTTCCTGTGACGAAAGGGAGGGGACGGGAGCTTGGTGCTTGCCTGCTTTACCTCACCTTACTACCTTACTGCGTAGATGGCGGTTCTTCCACCGTAAGGTACGGTAGCTAGTGTTGCGCCTAGGACCTGGACCCCTTTTGCCCCTCCAAGTGGGGTAAGATGAGGTGAGAGCAGCGAGGTACGTACAAGAGCTACCCTGCCTTGCAGGTACTTACTGCAAGATGGGCTGTACATGATGCAAGACAAGGCCAACCAGCCCCTCGGATGGCAAAAAAGTTGTCACTGCAAAAAGGAAAGAAGCCATAAGCATGTCCGGTTGGGATCCGCGTGCCACCGTGGTGTACACTAAGAGCTGCAGTTCCAAGCGCTAGGTATTCCCCCCGGGAAGGTTCTAAGCTGGGACTACCCTCGGGACGGGGGCAACACCGAGGGCATGGAGGGGTGGAGGGGCAAAAAAGTCCACTGTCAACCGACATCCGCACCACCCCCCAGTGGCCCCCCGCGCCCATCAAGAATTAGAATCTTGGGGGTTGCATGGGGGGATGGGGGGATGGGGGCAAGGGTGACCTTTTGGGACATGGTACACCATCCGCAAGGTAATAGTGTGGACTCGTAGACAAAAGATGGCCAAGCCCACCTGACAATCTCGTTCCATATTGGGAACCTCAAGCAGCAGTCCAGAGCCGGCGGGGAAAAGCAGCGTGGCAGATTGGTAGCGCACCATGCACTATGTACGAAGGTGATGGGATGCTCGGGGAAGCTGTTGGAAAGCCGGGGAGGTCCCTGGGAAAAGAGGCGGCCCAAAGGGTTCCAGAAGCCCAACCACTCGATTCCAGACTCCCAGAGCCACAGGGCCTGCAAGCCTCGTGCTTTTCCAAAGTCTCCGGACCAGCTTTGGAAACCTCAACACCAGCTTTGTTGATCTTCTACCGTCTGTCGTCTACCGTTCTGGTTCTGACACTTCTCTCACCTGATGTGTGACACAAAGAGCCCAGATTAGACATGACTAACTTGGCTGCGAGACTGACTGAGCGGCCCGCATTTAACCACCTCATAGGTACCAAACCCCGTCATGACATAAGGTATATGTTCACTGCAACATTCCAAGTCAAAGAGGAAAGAGCCGCCTCAAATTTATTCAACAACATGTGATTTCGAGATCCAGAAGATGTCATCAATGAGGCTTCTCTCCAGCTGTATTAATAGCCACCTCGAACTCCGCAACATCTTATTGTCTCCTGTCAAACTCTATGATGGTTGGGACTAGTACCGGTAGCTTCGCCGGCGAACCCTTTCTCAACCTAACGAGTCTACATAAACGGTACGATGGAGTCGTCTTAAACACGATGACGAACCACGGAAAAAGAGGAGAAACACCTTTGTCTCAGCCACCGTGCCACCCTCTCCCGAACCCCAAAAAGACACGAGGCCCGGCAAGCCCCCAAAACGGTGGGCCGGGGGACTCATCCCGCCCCCGGGTTACCGGCCAACTTCGTCTCTCCCCCCCCGCTCCCCTTAGGCTTGTGGCAATCAACAGGAATCCTCCCCCGGCCGTGCCTTCCCAACGCCAGCTCTACCGTAAGGCTACCGTTTCCCGCCCGCGCCCGCTTCGCCCGCCGCTTCATCCTTTTTCGGTGCCGAAACCAAAAGAAAACCCAACGCCATCAATGATCAAACCACCACCCTTCGCACCCACCCCTCCTCCCTTTCCCTCCTTTCCTATTATCTCCATCTTTCCCGCCTTCATGCGACCCAATCACTGCCCAACTCGCCTCAGAGTTTTTGGCCTTTTTTCCTTTCTCACCATAGATTTCCCAAACGTAGCTCGAATCAGCTCTAGCCCGCCACATGCACCAAAATACTTCCAAACCAGAATGCTCCCAAAAAAAAAACTTGTAAGGAATTGTCGAATCAAACATAAGCTGGACAGGGATGCGACAGATAGACCTCTCCTAGCGCGGAGTCAAGACTGTGGACTGTGGGGAGTGTGGAAACGACCGCATCTGCTGTTCTCCCCCGGGACATGGATCACAAGAGCTACTGTGGAGTAAACTCACACAAGGGAAATCATAAGCGGAACTCCTTTTCCATGCACCACAATCTCAAGATTTGTTTACGGTAACATTCCTCTATTCCGCTTGCTACCTAACCATACCTGTCAGGGCTGCATAATGACCGCCGCCGCACTGGGTATTTCATTTATTAATAAACTCCATATCTTGGGGGCACGATAGCACACGGGGAAGAAAAATCTCTGCATGCCATGTGAACACCCGACCAGGCCGCCCCTGATGCTTCGCTGTCACCTGTATGGTGTTGCGGTGTGCTCGCCTTCCGTCTTGCCTGACTTTCTCCCACTGTTCTGAGCTGATGACCACGCAGTCTTTGCTGATGCGGCCTAGCCTTGCCAAGCAGGTGAATCAACTGCGATATCGAAGTTGATTTGCCGATCTTTTGCCCGGCAACTCCGAACAACGGAGCCTCACCACACTTCATTCGTGTCCGCTTTCCGTTGTTCCGTCCGTGCCGATCCCCCAACGATTGGCCCTCTTGTCAGACCGAACCCCATTGAACATTGCTTTTCTGTCTCTCTCACGGGCGCATTGGCAGTTCTGTCGCATACACGACTGTGTCACCTCACCGCCATAGGATAATATGCTCCATGACAGGCTGATGGGCGTGACTCGGCAATGCGTGATGGATCTCGATGAGGCGTCCTGCAGACGAAGATGCAGCAAATGCCGTTGTTAGCTTTTGCAGATATATCCGAGTGTGTTGCATGACGTTGGCAGGCGTTTCTTGAAGAGTTTCCGCGTGTCGATTGTTCAACTCTCAGTAGTCAAGCTCCGCCTTGGGCCATTTCACAGTATCTTTGTCTTTATCTTTCTTCATCTTCCCGCGAAACGGTTTTTGGTCACCCTGAAACCATGGTTAGTCCCTGCCGATATTGCGAAGCGAGCTGCGACTCGGCTTACCTCTGCTTTGCGCTTCTTGCCGTGCGATGGCTCAGGCGCTCTCTTCGTATAGACTGGTGTGCTTTCGCGTGCTTGTGTCGCTTCCGAATGACAGCTAAAGTGATAGGCTCGATTGCCGACCAGTGTAGTATCCAGCCACACCCATTCTTGAGCAGTCTCAAGCCACTTGTTCTCGAACTTCTCTTGGCAGATGGGACATTTGCTATTGATCCCGCTGGATGCATCTGGCACAGGAATGTATCGAGGCTTGGCCTCTTTCTTCCCTCGGCCAGGACTAGACGAAGACTTGTCCGCAGTCGCAACATGGTCGACATCGATGGCCTCTCGTGACTTGAGCCAGTCCTGCATGTCGTTAGATCATTCTAAAACTTTACAAGGGCAGCCATGGTTACTCACATTGTTATCGACATACCAACTTCGGTGCTGGCCTCGTTTCTCCGCTTCTGCAAGCCGTTGGTGTGCCTTGAAGTGCCAATCCATGTGCGCCATCTTCTTCTTCCTTCCCTCATCATCCGTCTTGAAACGTCTACCACACTGGGTGCATTGAGGACCCAATTGCTCAAAGAGAGACGGGATCAAATGAGGCTGGAATCTAGAAAGGGTTAGCGTTCGTGCTTCCAGCAATATTCATAGACAAACTGACTGTTGTTTCAAGGCCACCGCATCAAGCTGGTTGCCGCTCATACCCCCAAGTGGAGGAATCGGTGGCAGTTGGCCGGAAGCCAGCAAGCTTGCAATGTTAGGGGGCAAGAATCCGGGAGGCATCATAGGCATCCCTGGAGGAGGCACTGGTGCTGGGGCTGCTGGTGTCGGCGTTGCGCTTGGGGCTGCTCCCCGAAGAATTCCAGCTTGCCGTAAGCCGGCCAGCAATGCCATAGGATCTGTCGCCGGCGGCGCACTGGGCTGTCTTTGCGGCTCGGTCCTCTGTGGGGGAGGAGACCGGATCGCCATGCTAGCATGAGGAGGAGGTGGCGGCGTTGAAAGCTGCGGCGTGGCTGACTGTCGTGACAACAGGGCAGCAAGAGCTCCTTGGCCCAAGAGGGCATCAAGCGTCACTCCAGCTTGCTGCTGAGGCAGGCCAGACGGTACTACAGGCGCCGCAGGTGGCGGCGGTGGATGATGAGGGACAGTTGTAGCAGTAGGGGTTGAGCTTTGGGCCGAGAACGGCCTCACTTTTACGGCAAGATCGGCTACTTGATTCTTAATGAGGACCAACTGGTCCTGGGGCAAGTTCTGATGTTGAAGCAAGCTCTGCACATCCAACAACGCCTTGAGTCTTTGTTGAATACTATGATCATGGGGGTTCTGCGCAAACTCCAACTTCGACGCATCGATCAACTTCTGGATATCTTGACCCAAAGAGTCTTTGTTTATCCCAGCAGCCTGAGGAGGTCCTGAAAGTCCGGCTCCGTATGGCATCTGCGGAGGGGGTTGGTAGGGACCAGGAGCTGCCGAAGGCTGAGCACTGTAGGACGGCGGAGGAGGCTGTAAGGTTTGTCAGTGTGTGATATCAAGTGCTGAATGGTAGGATGGACGTACAGCATAAGGAGCCATCTGCGGGTGGGGTGGGAGAGGCGCACTCGGAGGTCGGTTTCCATTCGCTTGTGGCATGGGCGGAGGTTGACCGTAAGGCATCGGCTGGTTCGAGCCAGGTCGCATGCCCGGCGGCGTTGGTGTTTCGCGGTACGGTGCAGCAGCAGGTCGGCCGCGACCCGCTGGTCTTCCTTGCTGAGCCTGAAGCGCGGATGTGCGAGCCTTGATGAGGGCGCTCTCAATAGGTGCCGTCACTTCTGACGCAAAGACTGGACGCTTGTCCAGAGATCCAGGAACAGGCTCCTTCCAGGTGCGGAGCATTTCATCCATTTTGCGGCGAACCTGACCATCGACAGCCGCGTATGCTTCCATGAATGTCTGGTATAGCTTTGCTCCGAAGAACAATGTGTACGGAGTGCCGACATTCTTAACGATCGAATCGAGGACGTAGAGGGCTGGGAGCTTCTTGTGCGCTGGCGCCTGTCAAACATGTCAGCATAGGTCGTTACTTTGGAGAAAGGGAGCTTCGTGACTTCCCAAGCTGCGCTCGAAAAGGACTTGGTAGACAACGCGGGCGGTTACCCGACAGCTGAAGGGTAGAGCCTACCTTCAAGATATGGTCCTGCAAGACTTCAGAGATGACTTGGGCATGCTCAGTCTGCTCTCTTGCAATCATCGTCAGATTGCTAATTTCGAATCGCACATTGGTAGTCAAGTCTTCGAGAGCTTGACGATAGTCCTCAGCGACCTCTGTGGCGGATGACTCGTACGACATGATTGTGGTTATTCCTGGGTAGCGATATCCTTGATGATGAATGTTTGTCTGTCAAGAGCACGCGATGGCGAGCGAGATCTGCAGGAAAGCGATAACGCAATGGCAGCGGGGAAGATTCAAATCGACCTCGAAGTCAAGCGCCTTCACCATATGCAATGGAAAGCACAATAAACCACCCTTATTATGGAGGAGCACCAGTCTGCAGCTTGGAAAGAGAGACGACGCAGGTAACCTAAAGTGGAAGGGGCCGATTTGCAGATTCCAATTCTCGCGTCCAGTCCCTCTTTCTGCTCAAGTCCTCCACACCAAAAGCCAACCAAATCCAAGCAGAGAGCAAGGACACCGTCACAACATTATCCAGTGGAGGATTTTCGCGTCCGCTTGAAGAATGCGATGGGACCTTCGTAGATGTTGACGGTCGCCCAACGTACGGAGAACGCCGCGGGAATGGCGTAGACAAAGAGCAAAATGGGAGTGGAAGTGGCAGTTGGGTAGTCACGATTTGGTCGCAGGAAGACGAATCAATGAGACGAAAAGCGTTTGACCGATTCAGGTCAAGTCGAATCAAATCCTCGCTGTGGGCGATGTCGGTCGCGAATTGTCGTTGTGTTTGATGGAAGGATGGTCAATCAGCAGCAAGTCTGGCGGAGAGGAATTTGACATTGGGTCATGAGGCTAACGGAGGTCAGAAGTGACAGTGAAAGGCAATGACGGACCCACTTGAGCTCACGTGCCTTGGGCTATCACCAAGCAGCAGGGAAATGGCAGGAACCTGGCAGGTGCGAGTCACACAGGTTGCTGACCTCATCCTGTATTATCCTTATCTTATCTCATCTTCCATGGCTCACCCATCACTGAGGTGTCCGACTCTTGGTACCACGACGTAAGGTACCTACCTACCTACCTTATTTCGTCTCAGGTAATTCTTTTGATCGATCTGGAAGGCGCAAATTACCTACCGTGACAATATTGCCAATTACCAAGAGCTGGGAATGGAAAAAAAGAAAAAAAGCATGAAGATAGAATGACCTAAGAGCATATTGACGAGGTCTTCTTGTACAATTCCCCAGTTCCTCTCGACAAGTGTTGGGATATCTGCTCCTGACACTTCCATTCTGAAGATACAGTCACGCAACTTGGGGGAAATGGTGCCCCAAGATTCCGTTGGTAGTTCTCTTAATATAACGAAAGACCTTGCCCCGAAATGTGTAGTACCATTGTAGTCGGACTGCAAGCAACGGAACTTGAGGCGCTGACGTAACATAGAGAAGGGCAAAAGATATGAATGAAGGTCTTTGTTGCAGTCGGTGACTCGAAAGATTAAACTGAGAATTTGTTCTGTAAAGCTGAGAAGCAGGCCAAGCTATGTCCCTCACTTGGTAGGACCTGAACGTGAGGAAGGTAGGTAGGCAAGGGAAGCATTAAGATCTTGCCCAAGAAAATAGAGTACCAGATGAAGCACAATAGCTTTCAGCATTTCCGCTTCCTTCTCACGAAGTCAATACTAGAGGAAATCGGACAACATGAAGCAACATCATGTGGAAGATGTTGCTGCTTGACGCCAGCACTGCCACGGTGGCCTGGCCGTGGCCACCTCGTACAAGACTAGCGGCAAGAGGTTTCCTCTAAATTAGACAGATAGACGCCGTGGGACGCGGCTCAACTGGTTGAACCGCGGATGTAGACGGGCCTTGTATTTAGGATAGCTCTAGAATTGGCGGTAATATTTTCTTTTTTTGGCGCGCGTAATCATCGTCGTCCTCGTAAGATATTCTCAAATATGGTCTAGAGAGTGGAGACCACGCCTACGACCTCACCTACAGGCGGCATCACGAAATGAGGTGGTACGCGGACGGGCGCTTATTCCCAAGCGACCCTGTTGACGGGCCACAGTCATCATAAATAACTCGGAAATCGGATGCAGGCCCCGTCTGATGCACCGGAAGCTGTCGGAGGCACGGCCGCCCTGCAATCTGTAGATGCACGCCTCTTGTCCAGTCTTCTGGTTTCACGATCAGGTTTCATTGCCATCTGGAAATACCGCTTGTAAGTGATCATGGCGCCATGGAGAGTCTTCAGCCGCCTACCTCAGACGGACGCACGAAGAGCTATGACCGCAGCCAATGGCTGTCTTTGAGGAAGACCGAGGTCAGCTTTCCCAGACAATGTTGATCTGAGGATTTGTTATCCAGCTGGTCTGATATATCTCGCTAGCTTAGTAGTTGAAAATGGATTTGCATATGCCTCGGGATGTTCTTCAATAATGACATAGACATGATCGAACCATTAAGGAAGGAGATTCAACCCGCACTTTGTTGCATCATGATTTCAAATGGCCTTAGATACCAGTGATTTATTCAACGATAGAATCGGATTGCACGGAGTATAAAAGACTTATGCCCTGTCGGTATGACGGTGGGGACTCCGTACCGGAGGTTTGGGGCTCGCCCGTGCTGCGAAATCGCACTCGGAAGAGCCAGCTGCGGGCCTACGGCCTTCAAGTCTTCACTGCCGCAGGGTGGGACGCAGGTTTAGGTACCTTGCGTTGCCGCTCACACTGGAATTGGCCCATCAAGCCCAACTCTCTGCAGCGAATCGGTACTTCTGGCGCCTGCAGGGGTCGCCCAGCGGACAAGTGTGCCTGGCATTTCGGCCGGCGGTTGTCTTTGCTAAACTCGCATGAAACGAAGTCTCGTCGCCCGTCATCCAATCAATCCGGCATCGCGCCCGAGAACTGAGAAGTTGCCATGTCCCTTCCACTCTCGACTGTTCACTTTGTTCGTAACCCTGAGCAAACCTCCCCCAGTCTACCATACCATAGGCATCCCTACCTCGGATCCCGTCTGGACCTCTCAATGCTTGAATATTCGCCTCCTGCTCCGCCAACTTTGTACCTATGCCGCCCTCCCATAGGTTCGTTGCGCCCGAATTGCTTGCCCTTGACTTGAACAAGCTGCAGCAGTCCGACTTTCAGCGCACGATTGGATGAAAGCGGCCCACGGCATGTTCATGCCACCCATGTCTGTCATGGTCTCTGCTCTCTAGACCCTCCGTCGTCTCGTCTTTTGCACTTTGCCGAGCTGAGTGTCACGGGTGTGTCTCCTTCGACGATCTGGTGAGCGCCACAGGTTATCAGCAGCTCCACGATGAAGATGGTGTCACTCACATGCAGCGAGGCCACCGCTGCCCGACCCATATCGTGACAACGAGAGAATAACTGACAGACAAAGTTGTTAGCTGCTCTGGGCTGCGCGTGCTCGATCAGGGGTCTCATTGAAACCACGTCTGGTCGCCGCATGGCGTCGTCTGGAACCTCAACCGCACCTCGTCCCGCTATCACGCTCTCGAGTCCACCGTCTGCATCTCTCCATGATCCGGTCCTCTCTCCCGCATATCCCATTGCCCACACGGGCCACACCCCTGTATCCTAGTTCTCATACCGCCCGGGACGTCGAGGGATCGTCCAAGCCGTTCGTGAGAGAGCCCATGAACGCTCCATCGTCTCCCCTCCTTCCCCCATGCTGTGTCTCCGCCGACGCATCCCGGCCCTGATGGCCCTCTGGCGCTGCCAGAATGATTGGTTGCTGGTTGCGCGAAACTTTTGGCTGTGATTCGAAACGGCGAATGGAGAGGGCCACCGGACAGGCTCCCTTTGGTCAAACTATACCCGACCTTGCTCTTGCCTTGTCGCTGGGATGACAAAATCCCAGGTGACGTGCAGGAAGAGAAGGAATAAGGGCACTGCTCTGGGCAAGGTACAGATTTACTTACCTATCTTTACTTTAGGTGCTTTGCGTTACTCTTTCACCCCATGTTTCTTTAACCTTAGGTCGTGGGAGAAAAGTCCATAGTCAATCAGGGTCCTGTCTGTATTAAAGGAGAAGGAGCTCCCGTCCCTCCTTCCTTTGACGTCGAACCTACCCACCGGTCCTTTCTGGCAGGAGCTCCCTTCCCTCTTTCCCCATTGAACAGCCGTGAACAATTTCTGTTCTTGGGTATCTACTAATCCTGTTCGCCTACAATCCTTCTCTCCTCATACTCTCGTCACCTTCTCTCCTTCTTCCTTTGTGAAGACATCAGCACTTTCTCTATAACGCCAACTCTCCTGGACTGGTTTCCAGGAATATTTCCTACTCGTCTCTAATCATAACCTCGCGCTCGATACTCTACCACCGAATCACTAGTCGCTTGGATTATCTCGTCTGCTTGGACTGACCGAATTCTTGCTACGGACCTCATCGCTACCGAGCTTATTACCAGCCGCTATTCACTCAATACTCTCCTTACTTGTATGGTGGTTTTCGCCCTTTGTCGATCTCGGACTCGTCACTAATGCTGCCCCAGGATCTCGATACTCTTCACCAGAGCCACCGAGTACTCAAATACATACGACTGCCTCGAAAACTCGAAAACGTCGCGACGGCTGTTCTCCGATTACAATCGCAAAATGTTCAATCTCTCTGAAAACTCCAGCCTTCGTGGCTCGGGTCACTTGATCCTCAACGTCTTCCGAGCGTTCAACATCATCGGCCTCTTGGCCGTAAGCGCCGCCACCTGGACTATGATCGTCATGTCCATTCTCAAGGGCAACTTTGCCTTTTTCGATTCGGCCTCCCGTTTCTTCACCTTTTGCTTCGCCGTTTTCCTCATCATCTCCGAACTCAACGTCTTCCGCGCCTATTTTATGCGCAACTGGCCGACCCTCTCGCCCGAGCATGGCCTCAGCTGGCTGGGAATTGCCATGGTCGTCATGGGCTGCCACGTTCTCGGGGGTATCACAGTGCCCGCCTACTCTGTTGAGACCATTGGTCTTCCTCTCTGGCGTCTCATCCTCGCCTCAGGCATTCTGGCCATCACTTTTGGTTTCTTCAACATCATCTCGTCCATTGTTTTCCGGGATGGCAGCAACGGCATCAACGCCCGCAACATTCGCAGCGACGGCACACTTGCCTCCGGCAAGAATTCGTACGCTGACGGATACTCTGTCAGAAGCAACTCGA